TCCCTGTTCCTACACCACAGACTGGAAAATTTTGCCTTTTCAAATCTGTAAACAATATTAATTTGGTTTCAGTTTGTTGACATTAGAACAGGAAGCTTAATAAAATTGCTTCACTGCGATATGTCATAGAACATAGAGCTGTGCAGCATAGGAATAGGCCCTTCAGCCCACGACACTGTGCTGAACGTGATGCCAAATTAAATTAATCTCTTCTGCCTGTCCTTGTTCCATATCCCTCCATTTCTTGCATATTTATGCGCTTATCTAAAAGTTTCTTAAATGCCCCTATTGTATCTGACTCCACCACCACCACCCCTGGCAGCGCATTCCACACTCCTACTGCTGAGTAAAAAACTCATCCCTCACATCTCCTTTGAATTTTCCCCCTCTCACCTTAAATGCATGACCCCTAGTTTTAGACATTTCAATTCTGGGAAAGACACTCTGACCATCAACCCTATCTATGCAGCTCATAATTCTATAGACTTCTGTAAAGTCTTCCATTGGCCTCCACCGCTCCAGAGAAAACAACCCGAGTGTTTCTAGCCTCTCCTTATAATTCATACCCTCTAATCCAGGCAGCATCCTGGTAAACCACTTCTGCATCCTCTCCAAACCCTCCGTATCCTTCCAGTAATGTCGTGACCAGAACTGAACACAATACTCCAAGCATGGCCTAACCAAAGTCTTATAAAGCTGCAACACGACATCTTGATTCTTGTACTCAATTCCCCCAACGATAAAGGCAAGCATGCCATATGCCTTCTTCACCACCCTATCTACTTGCGTGGCCACTTTCAGGGAGCTATGGACTTGAACCCTAAGATCCCTTTGTATATCAATGCTATTCAGGGTTCTGCCATTAACTGTATACTTTTCTTTAACATTTGATCTCCCAAAGTGCAGCACCTCACACTTACCCAGATCAAATTCCATGTGACATTTCTCCACCCATATCTGCTACTGATCTATATCCCGCTGTATCGTTTGACAACCTTCTACACTATCTGCAACTCCACCAATCTTTGTATCGTCTGCAAACTTACTAAACCATCCATCTACATTTTCATCCAAGCCATTTACATATATTACAAACAGCAGAGGTCCCAGTATAATCCCTGCAGAACACCACTACTCATGGATCTCCAGCCTGAAAAACAAACTTCCACTAGCCTCTGCCTTCTTTGGGCAAGCTAATTCTGAATCCATGCAGTCAAGTCATCGTGGATCCTATGCATCTTAATCCTCTGGGGAACCTTGAGGCACCTTGTCAAAAGCCTTGCTAAAATCCATGTAAATTACACCCGCTGCTCTACCCTTGTCAATCACCTTTATCACCTCCTTGAAAAATTTAATCAAGTTAGTAAGACATGACCTGCTCTGTACAAAGCCAGGTCGACTGTCCCTAATTAGGCCACACTTTTCCAAATGCGCGTAAATCTTATTCCTAAGAATTTGCTCCCTTGTTCCAACTACCAACGTAAGACTCACCAGTCTATAGTTTCTGGGATTATCCCCATTTCCCTCCTTGAATAGAGGAACAACTTTAGCTACTCACCAGTCTTACAGGACCTCCCCAGTGGTTAATGAGGATACAAAGATCTTAGTCAAGGACCTTGCAATCTCCTCTCTTGCCTCTCTCAATAACCTGAGGTAGATATCATCAGGCCCTGCGGACTAATCCACCTTAATGCTCTTCAAGAGACCCAACACCACTTCTTTCTTGATCTCAAAATGCCCTAGCATATTAGCATGCTTCACACAAATCTCACTGTCCTCCATGTCATCAAGATAAAGAATACATTGCATCCAAAAAGGCAAGTCAGCACCAGGCAGGAGCAGAATAATAAAAAGGCTTGTATTTTAATGTTACTCTGTATTTAATATGTTTGTGAAGCTCTGATTCAATGAAATGAGCACAAGTCAAATCTGATGCTTGTTAATAATATAAGACAGTGCACAAGATAAATATTGAATCTATCCACATAATGCTTCAAACTTTAAGGTACCACAAATCATTCCTGAAATATACTACAAATGCAGTCAGATCTTATTAAGTGCCAGAAATTGTGTAAAATAAATTAAAAAATTAATGCAAGTAATGTGAACCAAATATCAGTTCAATCTGTACAACTAAGAGCAATTTTCATAGCAAATTAGATCTAATTGTGATTTTTTATTGGCTATACTAAATAATTATATCATTATGTTCTCAGGCTTTATGTTTATGCTTCTGAAACTATAATTAGTTAAAGGTTCTAAATTTTAACTGACAAAATAAATTTCTCTTGAAGTACTGAAATATACAATGTTTAATAAAAACACAATTTTATATGAAGGATTGATTTAAGTCCATGTGTTAATGAAAAATAAATGCTTATCTGCTAAATATTCAAAACAAAAATGATTGTTTGTTCCAGTAATCCAGAGTTATCAAATATCAGGGACAGCTGAAATCACCAGAGGGTGGGCGCAATGTTGGCCTCAAGGTAGGCAGACAGCACAACCTAGAGGAGCAGACGAGGTGAGTACCTATGACAGCATCATCCAGAGAAAAGGTGAGATGGGAACCCAAGACAGGTAAATCAGCATCACGTAGAGGAGTGAATTAGATAAGGAGTGCAAGACAGGAAGTCAGCAATACCTGGAGGAGTCTGTGAGAAAAGAACCTCAACAGGCAGCCAGAGACCGAGACAGATTCATTGAAGCTGACTGGAATTGCTCTACTACAAAGAAAGGAACCAGCTGTTCGGTGAATCTCTAGTATGTCTTTTCTATTCTTAAATTGGGTAAAGTTAATAAAATATAAAAAAGCAACATAAATAAGTGAATAACATAACTAGATAATTAAAATTCACTAATGATGGGAGGACAGGTAAGCGTAGGGAGCATAGTATATTTGAATCACTGGTTCCAGCAGTTCCAAGAAAAATGCCTGCAAGTGTTTGAAGTTCAAGAAGCTTCAGCTCAAGAGTTTATGCACTGGCAGCTAAACTACAGTCACTGTGACACATCAGGGGACAGAATGTTACCTGGACTCTTTGCACCTGGAGGTGGTCACACAACTTAGGATAGGGTCTTCTGATTTGGTCAGGGAAAGAGGCAGGCAAGGGAAACCAAAGTGCAGGAGCGTCGGCCTTTGTAATTGTCAAATGTGTCTGAGGTTCTCTCAGCCTGTTTGAGTGACAGCAGGGCCGCAGAGTGGATGAGTGAACTGCCCATGGCAGTATGGTACAAGAAGCCATTGAAATGAGGGAGCAACAAGAATTGTATTTTAGCAAGTGACAGTATAGTGAGGGAGGGACTGAAACTTCATTGTAGAGAATGACACAAGAGTCAAGAAAGCTGTGCTGCTAGCCTGGAGCCAGCATTCAGGACTTTTGCTCACAACTGGAAAGGAGCATGTAGCAGTAGAGGAGGATCCAGTAGTGGGGAGAACTTGGAAACAGATTCTGCACAGGGAATATGAAAATCTAGGTGCTAAATGGAAAAGATCTTTAAGGTTATAATCTCTGGATTATTATGTGAGTCTCATGCAAATTGGCACAGGGTATATAAAATTAGACAGATGAATACATGGCTGAAAGACTAGTCTGGGTTCTGGTTCATGGGCCACTGGCACCAGTACTGCGGAAGTGGGGGCTGTACCTTTGGGACCGTCTATACCTCAACTGCATAGGGGATAGTGATACAGCGAACTGCATAACTAGGTAAGTAATGGGGACTTTAAACTAAACAGAGGTGGGGATAGGATAAAGACAGAATAAAGAATAGAGACAAGGTAAGGGAGGAAAATAGTACTATGGAAAATGAGGATCCGAGAATGGCATAAAGGGACACGGAGAAAGAAAAACATAGGAATACACCAAAAAATTACAACCTAATGCTCCAAAGATAACAAAAAGTCAAAACCATGTGATATTGGTTTGTTATCGTGATGTCAATTAATGGATAAAGATCAGGATATCAGGGATAATTCCCTAGCAGTTCTTTGCAATAGGTATATAAAATTATGAAAGGCGTGTAGGTTGGCAACTTGGAGGTGCAACAGATTTTGCAGCAGTGTTTCATTTTCAGGACCAGATACAAAAAGATGCAAGGTTAGATGAAATTTGAAAGACAGATCAGAAATAGCCTTCTTTGTGAATGACATGATGAGCACAGAGGGGTCTCACGAGATGGTCAGATCAAGAGGGTGGTCTTCAAGAGGGAAGTGTTCGGAGAGTACAGGAGGGCAATGAATTTAAAGACAGGCTAAGATGGAGGTAGAGGAGTTATTCAATACAGAGGTAGATTGGGGGTTGCAGGAGAAGTGGTCAGCAAAGATTTGATGAGAAGCTTGATGCTTTACATGATATTTGAGTGAGTGGTTGGAACTAGCGGGGAGGTTTCAGTAGGGGCAGTTAACATCACTAGTGGGCCAAGTTTCTATAAAGACCTTGAAGTCCACACAATCATCCATACAATACAGTCATGAATGCAAAAGACTTTGTTCAAAGAACTAAGCTGACTTCCAGAGGAGATGTGGAGAGGAGTGATGGCTGATCAGGGTCAGTGAGGAAGAGGGTGAAATAAACCAGAAAGAGATCAGCAGGATTATTTGGAGGGATCCAATTGCTGGTAAGACAGTAAGTTGGCAGTGTTGGTGCTGCTACTTAATAAGAGCACTTGAGAGGATGCCACAAGTGTTCTATTTGTACAAAATAAAATTTCAAATAATTTTAATTTCAATAAGATCATTCAATATCACTTGGAAGTTGATCAGCTTTCAGTCTATTAAAACTTTGACATGTATTCAACTAATACCTTAATTCAACATGTTAAGTATTATGAGAGCAATTCAAACACTAAGTTACCAGTACATAATATAATGCAAATTTTGAAATTGGTTGTTTTATAATGTGGACAATTATAACATTCACTGTTCAAACAACATATCCTCTATACAAAACAAACCATCCACACTCAATCTTGTAAAAATGTGTTGACTGCAAGCATACCTGCTTCTAGGAAGAAACATGGACTCTTTGATGAATACAGAACCAGACAAGAGAATGTACCAACATGTGCCAATATCATCAGGGCTAGAATAAAAGAAATAAAGAATAAAATGAATAACACAAATGACAGAAAATAGGGGGAAAAAAACTACACCAAAACTAACTACACTGATAGATATGAAATCTTACATTTAAGTAAACATGTAGAAACTCTACATACATACAAGACTCTATAGGTATGTTGAAACAAATACAACATATATCTGTCAAATTACTTCCACACTATTTATTTAGTATTAAATCATCCATTTAACATTAAAACAGAGCTTTTTGGAATAATTACAGAGTTTCAGGTTTAGACTGCATGGTCACCTTTGCACAGACTATTAAGACAATAACGATCATATTCTATAACAAACATACAATCCAGAATACATCAAAAATTTTGCACACACATGCAAAACCTCGTTTCCTGTTGTCACGTTTATTGCTTACCTAATGCAAGCTCCCATGGAAATCATTTGCATAACATTTCACTGACTTCACACAACTCCTTAGTTTATTTGCACTACAGAGAAATGTCTGTATCCTCTAACCAACTTAATTCCTCTCCTGACAGTTGCAGTTTAGTTACAATAAAAAGAGAAAAACCCAAGTAAGATTCAACTTTTGCTCAAAAATGTTCAGCGACATTTTTACACACCTCTGAAGCAGTTTGGACTTGAACCAAGGCCTCACAGTCCAGTGGTAGTGCCACTACTACTGCGCCATAAGAGGGCTTATATCCCTAGTCCATTTAGCTCCAAATTTTAAGTATTATTCACCTGGTCTTCATTTTGACCCATTATCATGGAAAATAACTATACTAAAATGATCAAATAGTTGTTAGGATCTTATGGCACAGAAGGTCCAGATTCAAATCCCACCTCATTGTCATGAAGTTGCATCATAACACATCAAAACTGGTTGTTTATAAAAACATTTTTGTCTAAATTTCACAAACTGAATTCAATAACTATTTGCATTTATATGGTCACTTACTGAATAAAAGCATCACCAAGTACTTCATACAGGCACAATCAAAAATGGGCATTGAGCTAAACAACAAGACAATACTGTACAAGCATAGACCAAAAGCTAAAACAAATAAATAAGTCTTAACGTGGTATTTACAGTGCGAAAGCCAGCAAAAATGACAGTTTCAGAAAAGGAACTCTGGAGCCTGAAGCCTGAATGGCTCAATTCATAGCCATAAATAGTGAACTAGAAGAATGCACAAGGGGGCAGAGGAATTGAGAGTTCAGATGATTTTAAGGGCTGGAAGAGGTTATTGTGATGGAGACAGGCAGAGCCAAGTGGGTGCTTTTTCAACAGAGCAATGAAAGAGAGCTAGGGGAGATTGAAGTCATTGGGCTACAAGAGCCAAGTCTATACAAAGGCATAGGAAGGAGTTTAAATATCTTGAGGTTGGGGTGGAAGAATGAATTCAGGCTTGCATTCAGTTGAAAGCAAGAAAATTTAGGAGAAGGTGAAATAGGTGAAACGTGCCAGAAAGTAGAGAATTAGACTAATATGAATTTTGCTGACAAGGGCCACATTGCTAACACTAAAATCTTGGTCAGGAAGGTGACAAGGTATAGCCACACAGTGAAGCTTTGTTGAGCATAGAATCTCGACAGTGTGGAAGCAGGCCAGTCAGCCCACCAAGTCACCCTCCAAAGAGCATCCCACCCAGACCCAACCCTCTACCACATCCCTTTAGCCCTGCACTTCCCATGGATAATACACTTAGCCTGCATATCCCCGGACACTATGCTTCTTGCATCTTATGTTGTTGGATGCAGTATATCAACATGAATATAGTATTGGATAACTAACAGTTGGAATCAGAGGGACATTTTCAGGATGGCAGCCTGTAACTGCAGCCTGTAATGCAGCCTGTGGAGTACCACAGGAATTAGTGCTGGGGCCACATTATTTACAACGTGTATCAATGACTTGGATGAGGAGAGTGAATGCACTACAGCCAAGTTTGCAGGTGACAAAAACTGGTGGGAAGGCAAATGGTGAAAATGGCAGAGTCTGCAGAGGATATAGACAGGTTAAGTGAGTGGACAAAAACTTGGCATATCGAATGCAATGTTATGCAGTTTGGCAGGAGAAATAGAGGAGCCGAATATTATTTAAATGTATAAAGACAGAAGAAAACTACAGTAGAGGGATTGAGGAATCTTCATACATTACAAATCATAATCACAAATAGCTAGCATACAAGTTCAGCATACAATGAGGAAGGGAAATGGAATGTTGGCCTTTACTTCAATGGAGTATGAAAAAAGGGAGCTCTTGTTAAAACTATCTATAGTACCAGTTAGACCAAACCTAGAATAGTGTGAGCAGTTTTTGGTTGTCTTATCGAAGGAAAGGTTATTGTCATTGGATGCAGCCAGTTCATTATGTTAATCCTGGTTATGGAAGTTTTATGAGAAGACATTGAGTAGGTTGAGCCTGTACTCATTGGTCTTAAGTATAATAAGAGGTGACCTTACAGAAACATATACGATTCTTGGGGACATGACAGAGTGCATGCTGAGAGGTTGTTTTCCCATTGTGGAAGAGTCTAGGGCCACAGAACGTAATCTCAGAGTAAAGGGTCTCCCATTTAAGACACAAATGAAAGAGAAGTTCTTCTCTCAAAGGGCAGTGAGTCTGCAGTATTTATAACTGCAGAAGACTGTAGAGGCTGGGTCATCTAGGCTGTGATGGATTTTTAATCCGGAAAGGGAGGAAAGATTACAGAGATAAGGCAAGAAACTGGAGTTGAGGATGAGATCAGCCATGGTCTCATTGATTGGTGTAGCATCCAATGAGCTGATTGGTCTACTTTGGGTCTTGTGCCTGATGGTTTTATTTAACAGTGCTGCAGGGAAGTTTCATTCAACATTAGCTTTGGTGTTCACGTCATATTTTAAACTTCAGGAGCTGTTGTTAAGTGAACCCAGATAGTACTTCTCAAAGCACCTCCAGTTTTGACACTGAAGTGAATATATTTCTTTTTATGACTTCATATTCCTAAATACAAACAATTACCTTAGCCTAGTAGAATTTCCTATATTTCACACTTTACCTTAAGGAAAAATGGATTACTTTTAAGTAACTTTCATTTTGTTTTTGATCTTCCCAGAAGCAAGAAGTATTTGCAACAGAAATAATGTGGCCCCAGCACTGGAGAAAACTCAGCAAGTCTGGCAGCATAGAGTCATACAGCACAGAAACAGACTCTTCAGTCCAACTCGTCCATGCCAATCAAACGTTCCAATCTGACCTAGTCCCATTTGCCAGCACTTGGCCCATATCCCTCTTAGCCCTTCCTATTCATACACCAATCCAGATGCTTTTTGAATGTTGTAATTGTACGTGCCTCCACCACTTCCTCTGGCTGCTCATTTCATACACACACCATCCTCTACGTGAAAAAGTTATCCCTCAGGTCTTTTTTTAAATCTTTCTCTTCTCACCTCAAACCTACGTTCTCCAGTTTTGAATTTTCCCCATCCTTGGCTACTCACCCTGTCCATGCCTCTCATGATTTTACAAACCTCTGTAAGGTCACCCCACAGCCTCCGAAGCTCCAGGGGAAAAAGCCCCAACCTATTCAGCCTCTCCCTACAACTCAAACCCTCCAGTCATGGCAACATCCTTGTAAATCTTTTCAGCACCCTCTTAAGTCAAGGCAACGCAAAATGGTATGTCTGGTAGTAAAAGTTGACAGGCAAGGCAACCTGCTGTGACCAATCCAATAAAGTAATACCCAAAACAAAAAGGTTATAATAGCCCAGCCAACAGTGATAACAGATTAACAATCAAGCTCTTTGATTGAAACCTACTGACTTTTTACAGTGGCTGAAGTGATTCTTCCAAATCCACTCAGTCAATACATAGAGTTCATATAATTGCGCAAGCAGTGAAAAGGATCATGAGCTAAGGAGGAAATTTTAGCCTCGTTAAATTCCAGCAACACCAAGAAACAGGCAGGGCATTAAGTACTGTCTGTCCTCAACTTGCATCTAAATGAGCTTTGGTAAATGCATCCTGACAAGAGGATACCATACAATCATACTTCGACATTGGTTTCTGAGGCCTTCAAACATCAAGAATTTCAGAAGGGGTTGAATGTCTAGTTGCACAAACACACAAGTGATAGATTTCCCCAAAAACAAGTTAAGGTTATTTTCCATTCAATGTACTAACCAGACAACTGACTACTATTTATTCGTTATAACTAGTACTCACAATATTGAACAATTGGACTTAGAACTGGTATTGTAAGAAAGAAATAAAACAAACACTCAACACCAAAGGGAAGCATTTTGCCAAAAATGAGGTTTTACATCTCCTACTTCCCAATAAAATTGTATAAAATTGTTGGGAACAGTTGTGTCAACTCAGAAATCAAACATCAGTGCTGTGGGAGAAAGCACAGTTAACATTTCGAGTCCAGTGATTCTTTATCAAAAGTGATAGCTAGGAAAGTGGTATTTATGTTGAAGGCTGGGGTTTGGTGGAGGTGGTGGTGGTGCTTGTGGTTAGGAGGGGTGTGGTGGAAGGAGAGAGAGTGAGAGAGATGGGACGGGGGGGCGGGTAGGAGAGTGACGGGGGGGGCAGACAGAGAGAAGACAGTGTGAGAAAGAGAGAGAGAGAGAGAAAGAAGACAGAGAGAGAGAGGGAGAAGACAGACAGAGAGAGAAGACAGACAGAGAGAAGACAGAGAAGACAGACAGAGAGAGAGAGAGAAGACAGTCAGAGAGAGAGAAAGAAGACAGAGAGAAAGAAGACAGAGAGAGAGAGAGAGAAGACAGACAGACAGAGAGAGAGAAGACAGAGAGAGAGAAGACAGAGAGAGAGAGAGAGAGAGAAAGAATAGACACAGAGAAGAGAGACAGAAGACAGATAGAGAGAGAGAGAAAAAAGAGACACAGAGAAGAGAGAGAGAAGACAGACAGAGAGAGAAAGAGAAGACAGAGAGAGAGAGAAGACAGACAGAGAGAAGAGAGAGACAGAGAGAGAGAAGACAGACAGAGAGA